TACTTAAAGGCTTTAAAAAGAAAATAGAAAAGAAATTTGGTTTGTGGGTGCCCAGAGCACAGCAAGCTCGGTTTCATATTTGAGATATTCACATGTCGCTTGTCCTGAAACATTTCCTGTACAGCTGGGAATCAGAGAGAGTAGACTGAACGCTCGGAGCATGTGCACATGTTCTTACTATGCAGTCCCAGTATGGGTGGTGAGAGAGGAGGTGGGTTGGGGAAGGTGAACTTTACGGTGTACTCTTTGGGTCTTTTCAGCAGCTCTGTGGCCTCATGGCTCTCCTCCTCCTGACCTCCCTTCTTCTTGCCTTTTAGCTGCTTTCTGGTCAGGGCGTCCTTAGTCTGTTTCTCCTGAAATGGAACAACGTAAGTGATGTCAGCAGGGACACTAGCCTCACAACAGATGGATAAAAGTGTCACCTGGAAATTAAGAAATATTTTGCTGAGTCTAGACCTTGCAGGCATATTGCAGCAGCATTAACTGCAACAGAATGATCAGCTGATCATAGACGGGTTCCCCTGACAGCCTAAACGGCTGGATTTTGTTTACATTTTAAACCCTTCTTCTCCTGGTTGAGAAGACAGTATTTTTGTAACTAGTTGATTTGGTGCTCAGGTGTACTTGAGTGAAGAGAAAGCCATACTCACAGCCTGTTTGGTAGACTTGCCACCAGCCTTCAGCTCCTTGAGTTTCTTCTCCTGTTTGTCGTACTGTTTCTGCAGTTCTTTCTGCTTCTGCACGTACATCTTCTTGAAGGTCACTTAAAAAAAATGAGGAAGAACTGAGGTAAAGCTGTCCTAATGTCTTTAACTAAATCACATAGTTTCGCACAAACTTCTCTCTCTGCAAGTAATTAGCGACTAGCGATGACACGTTGTCACTTACAATAGTTCCCTCTGTAATAGTAAAGTTTCTGGTTGTCCAAGTGGACGATATCTGTGCACACATCGTCAAGGAAACTCTGGTCATGGGAAACTATGAGGAGAGTCTTCTTCCAGCCTTGAAGGTAGCTGCAGGTGGGAAAGAACAGTCAAGAACAACAAATGAGTCACATTACTAAGACTGAAGCTACTTTCATAGCTGATGGAAGCTGTAGACTGTAGGAAAGAAAAATGTGACGTTTTCTTCTGTACAGCAATTTCAATAAATTAACAACAAATCATGGCAATGTTGTTTCATTCATTTTTCACACGAACCAAATTTAAACGAGTTAATAATTAAGATAAGACCTACTTGTCCAAAATTATAATAATAATGGTTAAATGTCATTTAATTCGCTGAAATCAGAGACAGAAAAAGTTCTTTCCAGCACCACTGGTCCCAACAATACCAGTTGGAAAGTGTATGGAACTGCACCATAATTAGAGACTTGAGTCTCTTTCACTGTGAGAAGTAGGCTAACATGTTTCATGAGAACCTGTTAGAAATTTTAATGAGCTGTTATTGGTTAGAAAGATCTCTCGTACTTGTTAAGCCAGATAACAGCATTCAGATCCAAGTGGTTGGTGGGTTCATCCAACATCAGTAAAGTGGGCTCCATGAACAGGGCTCTGTGGGCACAGACGTTAAGGTTGAGACAGGTTGATGCTATACCAGTTCCACTGAGGATGTTTGCTGCAGCGCACCTGGCCAGGGAAACTCTCATTCTCCACCCTCCAGAAAACCTCTTGGTGGGTCTGTTCTGCATCTCAGGAGTGAATGACAGACCAGCCAATATCCTTCTCGCCTTGGCCTCAGCTGCTGCAGCTCCTATTGCCCTCAACTCTTCATAGACCTGTGGAGAGAAAAGTCAGATAATCAGCATACAGGCCAGCAAAGATCACCAAAGGACTCTTAATGTGGGTCCATTATTAATGGGAAGGCTGTCGACAAGGGAAGCACCGTCTGCCAGAACATTGTGAGGAATTATTTTACTGCTGGATGGTTTTTCAAACGTTACATCTCTACCTAATGCTGAAACGGAGCCTCTGGCTCAGCGATGAAAGTACTGAAATACACTTTACGTGGCATGCCCGAGGGTGTCTCTGCTCACACTGCTGTATAACTTACTGTTAATGCATTTAAAGTTGAAGGTTAACTTATGGCCACCATAAATTAGGAAGCCTTTATTAATTTGTAAAATATGGCAGCAGGACTATGTTCATAAGCTGTAAACTGTATCAGGTCTGGTAGTGCACATGGACACCAACCTTATCCAGCCTCTCAGCTACACTATCCTCTCCCTTTTCCAGACGAGCCTGGAGCCGTTTCTCCTCTTCCAGAAGCTTCAGGCGGCGAGTGTCCGCCTTCAGCACCGCCTGAACTGCTGGCGTGTCATCAGCGACCACCTCTAACAAACAGAAGCATTCCACAGAGTCAATGGGTGATAACAAAGGGCACACAGCAGAAAAACGACAGAGCACAAGCGGGACTTATCACCTACCCTGTTCACACAGCAGCACATCAATGTTAGGAGGAATACTGAGAGCTCTATTAGCTATATGCTTCAGTAGAGTGGTCTTTCCTTTTCTGAAAGAAAAAATGAACACGAGAAATCAGATTATTTCTGATTCAAAGTGCCTGGTGTGATTTACATACGTCCTGGTGTTTGAGCCCATGCTGAAGAAACCAAGTAGTGCTATAAACGAAAAACCAAACATTGACGCACACATGTATATTAAAAACATTCCTCTCTCGCCCCTGCAGGCGGTCTGTCCTCCAAGCTCAGGTCCTCTACCAGAGGCCTGGGAGCTTGAGGGTCCTGTTCAGTATCTTAGCTGTTCCTAGGACTGCGCTCTTCTGGACAGAGATCTCCGATGTTGTTCCCGGGATCTGCTTCTCGTGTTCCTTCTTCCTGATGTTGCTGTCATTCGGTATCACTACGGCCGTCTTCTTCTGTTTGTCTACCACCACTATGTCCGGTTGGTTAGCCACCACCATTTTGTCCGTCTGTATCTGGAAGTCCCACAGGATCTTAGCTCGGTCATTCTCCACCACCCTTGGGGGCATCTCCCATTTTGACCTCGGGACTTCCAGGTTATACTCGGCACAGATGTTCCTGTACACTATGCCGGCCACTTGGTTATGGTGTTCCATGTATGCCTTGCCTGTTAGCATCTTGCACCCTGCTGTTATGTGCTGGATTGTCTCAGGGGCATCTTTACACAGCCTGCAGCTGGGGTCTTGCCTGGTGTGATAGACCCCAGCCTCTATGGATCTTCAGATCAGAGCTTGTTCCTGTGTTACCACGATTAGTGCCTCTGTGCTGTCTTTCAGTCCAGCTTTGTCCAGCCCCTGGTAGGATTTCTGGATGTCAGCCACCTCTTCTGTCTGCTGGTGGTACATACCTTCCATGATGGTTCCTCCTCTTTCTTGGGTTTCTGCTGCCTAAGGTATTCACTGAGCACGCGGTCGGTTGGGGCCATCTTCCTGATGTATTCGTGGATGTTTGTTGTCTCATCCTGGATGGTGCTGATGCTCACCAGTCCCCGGCCTCCTTCCTTCTGCTCAGCGTACAGAATCAGGGTGCTGGACTTGGGGTGAAACTTGTCTTGATGTCAGTGGCTTTTATCTCCTCCTTTAGCCAGCTCATTATCCCAGCAGGGTACCTGATCACAGGCAGTGAGTTGGTGTTGATCATTTGTGAAGTTCTCAGCCAACGCCCCCTCATGTGTCGACACTGTGTGGCACTTTGGCCGATTGGGCCCCTCTCGATTTTGTGCCCCTCCATTTTAATGGTTTTCCCACATGGAAGCTCAGAGACATGCAGATATACAGCGGACGACGTTGGAACAGTTTAAAAACTTGAGTGTTTGTGGAACAAACCCACTCAAAGTCTTGGGTTAAAGTTTCCACTTCTTTCTTTCTACATCAGCGCTTATGTGGTGGTATTGTCTGAGTGGCGACACCTATCGTACTGCAGCGGCTTAACGGCGGTTATAAATATAAGTGACTGTAAGACGAGGATGCGGCAGAGAACAAAGTGACCATTGTGACGGTAGCTGCTTTACACCACATCCTCCAAACTTCAATATAGCATTTTTAAAAAGAAATCTACAGTAACTAAATGTATTGGCCACTGTGGTGCAGTCCATTATCATACAATTACATGTTATATATAAAAAAGGGTTTACATGTCAGGACAAGACAAAGTGTGATTAAAACGATGCTTTTTAATCATCCAGAAAACGTCAGCCTCTGTCAAAACCTCATATTAGTCACGCAACAATTTTTAAATTCCAAACGAGCAGCGTGCCAAACGGTTTTTGTTCGTTAGAGCTGCTTCTGCACTAAAAGAGGAAAATGTCAATCATATATATTTAACCTGTTATATTCTGGATATTTATATCAGAGCTACTTCATATATTTTTTAACTTTGTGATATATTTTATTATTTAACTGAGTTAGTCTGTTACTGTTCTTATTGTCTTGGAGCGACTGTAACCACAGTATTCTCATTATGATTGTGAAAATGTCATACAGCCAAGACACCACGTTTCCTGTTGACTGTAAGAGTGAGAGAGTCTCCGCATCTGAAAAATGAACAGACCATGTACCACCACGACAATAGAAAAATCCATACTGTTGGTACACTGTGCAGCTAAAGTAATCAACGTTACCATCATGGTTGGAAACACACCCACAGGGCAGAGCTATGTGAAAAACGCCTGAAAATGAAAAGATTCAAAATGATCTGAAAAAAATAAAAAAAATAAAGATATTCTGTGCAACAGTGCAACTTGAGGGGCTTCATATATTTTCATCCATTTTCTTGTCTTCCATCCAAATATTGTACATTAATATAGTCAAATTCCCAAAAGTCAGTTATGAAATGACAGAGCAAGTTTGAAACTGGTACTGAAAAGTGTCTGTGCTGCTAAAGTACTGATGACAAAAAGATATTTACCCATTTGGTCCAACTAAACCATATCTTCTTCCTGCCACAATCAGAAGGTCAGCATTGACGAAGAGCTCCTTGCCATGAGCAGATATGCTGAACCTCTCCAGCTAAAACACACAAAGCAGAAAGTCACTGACAGAGATCGGAAAGAACAGTCTGACAACAATCTGTCATTCAGAAATGTAACAAAAACAAAAACAAAATGAGGAAAACAAAAATAAATGAGCAATTCCTATACCTAGTTCATTTTTACCCTTTTCAGTATATGGGCATATGAAGTGAAAGGTTTCAAGGAGGCTAATTGCAGAACTGGGAAAGCCTAAGCACATCCTTATCACTTTGTCCGGGATTAAAAGGACCACCTGTACCAACAGGGTCAGTTCTGAAGTTTTGTTTGTTGCTCTGGTGTGTGTGTTGCTCTGGTGTGTGTCTGTTGGTTGCTCTGGTGTGTGTGCGTGTTGCTCTGGTGTGTGTG